TCTTTGGCTTTCTGCAATGGTTCCTTTGGTTCTCTCTATCCCTTTAATATCCTACTTCTGTTTTTCCAGCAGAGATCCCTATTTACTTCCCAAGCTTATCCCTGACATATCTCACATTCCTGTTGTCCAGGAAAAATTCTGGGGGACTCAAATCTTCTTTTTTCCGGATACAGTCTCTTTGGGGTTTCATTCTTCCTTCTTGGATTATTGACTAGACACTGGGAGTTGGGACAGAGTGAGGGAGGGGATGCGGCAGAAGAGGCAAATTCCTCTGCCAAGCCTCAGTCCAGGCATCAGGAAATTCCCCCAGCATGGGCTGCTTTCTTGGCCAAGGACAGTAAAAGCACTTGGAAACAGGCAGCTGCTGGAAACCTGAAGGTATCTTGGGAGGCCAGCTGCATGTTCAAAGTCTACAAAGGGCTGTATCCACAAACACACTGCTTCTGCAGCTGAAGCCTTAGTGGATGGTTTGTATTGTGTGTGTGTTGAGGGGTGGTAGAGGGCAGCAGGAGGTTGCACCAAAGTTTCAGGGGGATGGTGTGACAAAGACGGCTTACAATGTTAGGGAGTTAGTATTTGGAAGCAGCCCAGAGTGCAATTCATGAGCACAGGAAGACAAGAGGCTACAGGACAGTCACTTGTGCTGTTGGTAGGAGCTGGAGATGCAGCCCAGGATGTGTCTGACCCTCCAGGGTCAAAAGGTATCAAGGACAGAGGACACTGAGGCGCCACCAGGAAAGAGCACCTCACTGAGACTGTTCCAAGTTCAAGGAGGAGGTGGGGTTTGAGAGGAGGTGTAGGGAGGAAGGTCTCGGGATGTGGGATACTCTGACTCATGGTCATTAGTAATGTGAGCTGCTCCCATAACCTTTAGGCAGCTATGCTACCATGGGGCTAGCATTGGTGGTCCATAGAGCAGTTGTGGCCATCAGCAACTTTCACAGCATCATTCACAGTCTATATTGGCTTCAATTATTTTTTCTCTGCCAAATGACACCATATCCTCATCCCATGGCAGTTGCTTCAGAGCAGACACCATGCCTGCTGTGGTCACACCTGGATGGCTGGCACTGACTGGAACATTGCCTGGCATCTGGACAGCCCTCCATGGATACTTGATGAATGAATCTTAAGAGCAGTTACAGGAATAGAGCAGGACCTCTTCCAGCTCTAACCAGTATTGCTTTAACACACAAATGGAAATTAGAGTGGGAAAATGGCCGTGGCCTTATGGAGGAGGATGGGTGCTTCATCAAAGGGGTCTTTTGGAAAAAGAAAGGTTTTGTTTTTTTGTTTGTTTGTTTTACATTGAAATTTTTTTTCTTTTTTTTAAGATTTACTTTATTTTTATTGGAAAGGCAAATATACAGAGAGGAGAGACAGAGAGGAAGATCTTCCATCCGATGATTCACTCCTCCCGGGCCACAGGCAGGGAGCTGGATGGGAAGCGGGGCCCATATGGGATCCCAGGCATGCAAGGCGAGGACCTTAACCACTGCGCCATCGCGCCGGGCCCATAAAAGGAAAGGTTTTTAAAACCAACCACCACAACAACAACAACAAAAATCAGCCTGGCAGCCTAGTGACACACAAGGGGACACTGTGAAATATGAATACACATGATCCTTGATTCAGGACGGAGTCTTGCCTTGCCCTGCTAGCCCATTGTAAAGTGAAACCTATAAATCAAAAATGCACTTAATATACCTAACCTATGAGCATGCGAGCTTAGCAGCCTAGTCTATGGTATGATAATGGTGGCTTCTGCTTTTAATCCTGAGGCTGTCCAGGCCTGCTGCCACTTCCCAGAGTCACGAGAGAAGAGCCTACCATGTACCATTAGCCAGGGCAAACCCCAAATCCAAAGTTTGAAATTGCTTCATTGAATACATATTGCTTTCACACCATTGTTAAGCTGCACAATTATAACTTGGAGTACCACCAACAGGTCATATTGGGGATGCAAAGGAAGACCAAAGGGAACCAAAGTGGATGCTATCTGAGTCAGATACTGAGTATGCTCAATGCTTTTGCCCAGAGCCTAAGAGATAAACTAGGAATAGACAGCACATCAAAGGCCAGGGAGGGACCAGGAAGAAAAGTTATTTCTTTGGGGGTGATCTTAGGCAGTTGAGAGCCTGCCTGGGTGTTGATATCAGACAGCTGTGCCCCAGCAAGCTTGAATCAGAGGTAAATGTCTTTGTAAGCAGACACCTAAGACAGAGAAACGTGTGCCTTAGCCTTTGGGGGACTGGGTCTGGGACTACTGAGGGCCCTGAACATGAAGATCACTGATGAACTTGAGCAAGTGTCTGAACACTTCAAACTAAAGCTGTCGGCTCCCTGATCTTACTTCAGGAATGGTTGCAACCTGGCCATTGTTCACTGAATTACGACAACAGAAGCTGCCTGGACTGTTACTGACAAGCATCATCTGCCTCTAGTTGTGTTGGTCAGGAATGTGTGGCCATCACTCCCCTGCCACAGTGCCCATGGCTGCTGGGGCCTTGTGGGGACTGCCTCGACCTAGCTCCACTTTAACAGCCACATAGGTATGCAGAAAGTACAAGATGCTTGGAATTTAAAAAATATGTTTATCTTGGTGCAAAAAAAAAATTTCTTTGGGAGGATGGGCATTGTAGTATACCAAGTTGAGTCACTGTTTTACATGGAATACAGATACCATTATTCCATGCTAGAGTGTCAATCTAGGTCCCAGTTACTCCTTATTTCTGATCTACCTCCTGTTAATGTGCCTGGGAGGCAGCAGATGATGTCCCAAGCACTTGGGTCCCTACCACCTACGTAGGAGACATGAAAGGAGTTCCTGGCTCCTGGCTCCTGGCTCCTGGCTCTAGCCTGGTCAAGCCCTGAATTTTTCAGACATTTGGGAAATGAGCCAGTAGATGAAAGATTTCTCTGTCTCTCTATCTGTCTGTCTCTCTCTCTCTCTCCCTTTCAAATAAAATAAATAAAAAGAAAACTAAAATCCATGCAAAGTTTTTTCATAATACATATTTTCAGGAATTTTAGGAACTTTTAGAAAATCCCTTGTAGACATGCATTTTAAAACTTTTTTGTACAAAAATAAACTCATTTAAAAATTTGCTTCTTTTTATTGGAAAAGTAGAGCTACAGAGATAAACAGAGAGAGAGAGAGATCTTCCATCTACTGGTTCACTCCCCAAATGTCCACAATGGCCAGAACTGGGCCATTCTGAAACTGGGAGCCAGGATTTTCCTCGGAGTCTCCCATGTGGGTGCAGGGCCTCAATGCCTTGGGTCATTCTCCACCACTTTTCCAGACCATTAGCATGGAGCTGTATCAGAAGTGCAGCATCCAGGACTCAAACCAGAGTATTTATAGGCTGTTGGAACCAACAGCAGAAGTTTAGCCTGCTATGTCACTATGCCAACCCCTCAAATAAACTCATCCTTAATATCACTTTGCATGGACTTTCTGAAGTACCTTGCATGCATGTGTGTGTGGTACTGGGGAGTGTTTTCTTTAGCTATAGCCGAATCTCAATTCTTAGCTATAAACTGGAGACAACAGTGGCAACATTTGAAAGTTATTGTGACAGTTAAGTGATATAATATAACACAGTGCTTAGCCTCTTGGGTTGCAGCAGAGGCCATCTAGTACCTTGGCAGAGGAAGGAGGGAATAACAAATTGGACAACCCTCCTGGCCAAACTTTGACAGCAAGTACCTGGGTGAGTGTATACTCTAAGTTAGACCTTGGAAGGATTTCCTCAACCTTGGAGCACGAAATCAACAGCGTCTCAGGACTATCTAAACCACTTAAACAGTACCATTGGAACACGCTCCACATCGGGGACCCTGGGATGACATGAAGTGGCCATTCCCCATCTCTGGGTACGGATGTGGTTGGGCTGCTGGGAGGGGCTCTCTCCCCTTCTTTCCTCCCTTCCCCTAGATACAGCAAGAAAAAAATTGGAAGCAATTATATCATTCACTTTCCCCCATTTCTTGACCCTCCTCACCTTAATTAATGGCCCATATGGGTATGTATCCTTCTCAACTATGTAAACATCATCAAAAATAAAATAAATTTCCTAAAAACCAAAATTTTTAAAAATCCACACAAATAGTTACTATGATAAACCTAGGGAAGACTAAGCACAATGTGCTGATTTTTAAATATTTGTTAAATGAACAATTCCTTCTTTTTCCAAAAATTTACTTGAATGGCAGAGATTCAGAAACAGGTAGAGATCTTCCACCCACTGGTTCAACACCCTCAAAAGTCCACAAAAAGCAAAGCCAGGCCAGACTAAAGTTAGAAGCTTAGAACTCAATCCAGGTCTCCCCCATGGGTAGTAGGACCCCAGGTACCTGGGCCAGCACCTGCTGCCTCAGAAGGTGTTTATCAACAGGAAGCTGGAAGCAGAAGCAAAATCAGGTTTCAAACTCAAGCACTTTGATACAGCATGTGGGTATCCCAAATGGCATCTTATCCACATGCCAAATGCCCACCAGTGATTTTTAAATTCTTGTATTCTAACCACAGAACACATCCTCTGCTGACTGGAGTATAAAGTGGTACCATCACTTTGGAAAGTGATGGAAAAAATCAAATACACCCCTATCCTGAGCCCTGGCAATTCCACTCCTAGTTATATACCCCTCCCCTCAAAAAAATGGATGCCTCCCAAAAGGTATGGTGCAAATGTTAATTGCTCTGTTGTACACAATGGCCCAAACTGGAAAGGATCCAAAATGTCCATCAAGTAGAATGACAGTACACTATACATGACAATGAAAACAAAATATTTCAGCTCACAACAACATGGATGATTTGCACAAGGATTATGTTAAGCAAAAGAAGCCAGACACAAAATCTGCACTTAAGCAAACACACTTTCTGTACAAGGTCAATAGCAAAGTCCCATTCCTGCTGATTCAGCAAAACGCCCTGCAGCAACCTCCACCCTCCCACTCTCCGGTTCCTGGTAGATTCTGTTGTTCAACCTTACCTCTCCAGTTCGAAGGCCATTCTGCTTCTGGGGCTGAGGGCCTGAGCCAAGGCTCTGGGGATTTGGGCACTGGGTCCCACAGCTCATCTTCTTCTCTGGATTGGATATTCCACCTGGTGCTGAAGATCGGGGTACACCATTGGAGGGCAGGCCATCTTCCAGCGCACCTGCAGGAGGGAAGCAGAGGGTGGCACTGGAGCCTTGCACTTGGTGCTTATTGCAAACAAGTCCAGAATTGTGGAGGAAAAGACAGAGAAATTCAGCATCATCAGAAACCCCACCGCACAGAGCTCTCCTTTTCTACTAGAACGTGTGTGCTTTTTCATAAACATGAAATTTTAAAAATAATTTTGTAACCTGACAGGTTTGCTTAATCATACATGGAGTGTCTGTCTGTGCCATCAAATGTTTCACCATGCTACTTTCTACGCGTGTTTGTCAGTTTGTGGATGCATCCCATCGACCTAACCAACCTCCTTTGGTTGGATATCTGTCTGCACCTCTTAATAGTGAATGGCATGCAGTGAAAGCTTAATTCATAATTACTTCCTTGGGACAAATTCCTAGAAGTGAAGTTGCTGGCAGGAAGGTTGTGGAGAGATCTTTGCATAGTTGCACCTCAAAGCGTGGGGCTGCATGTGTTTCCCTTGTAACAAACACTAAGAAATGATAGAGAAAAATTTCTAATTAACCAGTCATGCCGAAAAGCAACAGGAGGGCTACACTACACTGAGGAATTCACAGGGATGACAAGTATCTATCTGGAAAGAGGAAATGCAACCCACGAAGCATAAGCAAGGATGCTGAGTGGGAAGCATGAAGCCGACAGAGGCCCTGCAACTGCCACAGGGAGGTCAGAAGTGGCCAGGTGCAGCTGCCATTCTACTCTCCACATGCTGGAGACCAGACTGCAATGACAGAAAAGTCTGTTAAGGGAACTGACTCAGAGAGGGGTGGTGCGCTTAAGGGCATGGGACATCAGAGAGAAAGAGAAAACCCAGGGAAGAAGACCATGCGGCTCCCTGGAAACAATGCCGAGAACTAGGCCAAGAGCTTCCTCCCCTCTCTGCCCTCGCATGGGCTCTTCAAGAGCTGCAGCTGACAATTCCAGCAGGAAGCTTCGGATCTGAAACCTAGCAGAAAAAGCAGGATATGAAAGAGTTGGGCAGCTGCAGCCCTAACATAGGGATACATTGAACTGCAGAAGGTGGGCATGCCAAAAGGAAAGGTAGCTAATAAGAAAAGCAAAAAAGAAAGAAAAAAATTTTAAATAAACATGACAGATCAAAAAATAAAGATTTATTTAGACACATATTGGAATTAATCCTGACTATTAAGATGGAAGCAGCAAACCTCAACAGAAAAGCTATGTAGCAAGGTGGCTAAAGAGCAGTTGAGTGAGTTGGAGAGGGGAATTAAGGAATTCTCCTGGAGGACAGCTCCAAGGAGCAGTGGGATAATGAACAACACAGTAGGAAACTCACATGATAGAAGTCCAGCAACCTTGATGTAATAGGAGTTTTAAGAAGCAAGGGCAGAGAAAGAAGATTGAGGGGGCCAAAGAGTAGCAGAAGCAGTAGGTCAGGAATTCTCAGAACTGAGGAGAGACAAGAAATACCAGTCTAAAATCCCTGCGAGGCCCTTGACAAGATAAAAAAAAATGGAAACCAAAATGTACAGTTCTTGGTGACATTTCAGAATATCAGCAATAACAGGAACATTCCCAGAAGGAGAACGATGCCAGTCTCTCATCAACAACCCTTAGAACCACATCACCACGACTTCAAAGACTTCATAGTCTTGCAATGTATTCCCAGATTCACCTCCATCAATCTTTCTCCCTGTTGTCTTTTGGCCAACAGAACAGGAAGGAGTAACACTCCCTAAATCCTCACCAATGGGGAGTATTCTCTTTTTCTGTTTTTCATCTTTGCTGATTTAATAAACAAAATAAAGGATCTCATTGCTTGAGTTCATGCGTTTTGATTTAGTACAGATATTATATTACTAACTGCTTATTAAATAATGGTATAGCTTTTTATAATTATTGAATCATCTACCTTTCCTTTTGGGTCTTTGCCTTGGTTTGCTTTTAACCAGACTTGAAACAAAGCAGATCCTCTCCTTGGGCACTGAGCAATGAGCTGCCATGAGGCAGGTATCAGAGATCCGGTGTACTTAATACTCCAAGGGTGGGGAGAAGGATTGGCTGAGCAGGCCTGATAAGGCTGCAGTTCCCACACAGTTAGGACAGCAGAGTCCATAGGACACACATATCTCTGTGTCACCTGCACTGCCATATGCTAAAAGGCTATTAAGATCTAGAAATCAAAGTTTAGGGGCTGACACTGTGGTATAGCATATTAAGCTACTATCTGCAATGCTGGCATCCCATATGGGTGCCAGTTCAACTTCCACCTGGCTTTAAATTCAGCTCCCTGCTAGTGCTCCTGGGAAAACAGAGGAAGGGTTCTTGGGTTCCTGCACTCATGTAGGAAACTTGGAAGAAGTTCTGGGCTCCTAACTTCAGCCTGACATAGCTCTGACATTGGAAGTGAACCAGTGGATGGAAAATCTTTTTTTTTTTCTCTCTCTCTCTCCTTCACCTTTCAAGTAATAATAATAAAAACTTAAAGAAATTAAAACTTAATACATTGAAAATCACAATAGAAAATACCTGGTCCACAGCTTCTTAACTAGCAGGTCCCCCCCATTCCAGATGCCAGAGAACTGGATGCCTTCTCTTCTTATCCTTTGTGGTCTCCTTCTTCCACCAGCCACAGTCTACCTCCCCTTTCTTCCCATCCCCTCTCTATCCTGTTCCAAAAGAGGTCAGCATTGCACAGGCATGAGTACCCCAGCACAAGGGTCAAATCTCTAACTCCCTCTTCCCTGCAAGTAATTGCTTCTTGGCCATCTCTTGGACCTAAGAGAGTGCACACTTGCAGTATGGATCAGGAGATGAACCCCATAAAGACTCTGGAAGCAGGCTTGAAGTGAACCGGATTAGGGTCCCAGCAGCTGCAAAAGAGCTTGGTGTTATTAATTAGCCATGGAATAAGTGTTAAAACTGTGTGCAAGCATTCAGAAATTTCTGTGCAACTTGACATTGCTGAACATCCAAGCTTGAACTTGTTGGATTGGACAAGGTATAAGGTTATCTCAGGTGCTATCAAATTCATGTGCTATGTCACAAGTGGTATTACAGTACAGTTATACATTTGTCTGTTCTGGATTTCAGGATGGCAGTTGGAGGGGAAGGAACCAGTCCTAAGGGAGGGTTAGGAACTTTGGTAGGGATCCCAACGGTCCCTGGATAACTTGTCTGTAGGGGAAGGGTGTAGCTAATCGGGTGAGAAGGGCAGCTGTTCCTCTTAGCTAAGCCAACAGTGGAACTGCCTTCAGTACTTGGGGCTGGGAAGTGGGACTCAAGGCTGGCCAGTACTGCCTTTGCCATTCACTACAGTGTACCAGACTTGGGTTGAACATGGGTGAGAGGCCCCCACCACTATAGTTTGGATGTTGAAGGTTCATTAAAGGCCCAGGTGCTAGAATGTTGGTCTCCAAGTGGCACTGTTTGGAGCTGGTAGAACATTTAGGAGGTGGCTCCTGGTGCAGGGTCCTTAGGTCATCAGTTGTGTAGCCTTGGAAGGTGCTTCTCATGTGACCTCTTATTGCCAAAGTCCAAATTTGGGCCCCTCTACTCTCTCTCTTCTTCTTGGCTCAGTATGTGATCTTTCCTCTCCGCTAGCTCTGTCACCTGCCACAGGCACCTGGACTTTTAACTTCCCAAACTGTGAGCTAAATAAACTTCTCTTTTCTTGGTAAGTAACTTGCCTCCAGGTTTTTGAGGCAGTGATGTAAAACTAAGGAGTGTGCCTACTGAGTCATCCATTAAATGCACCCAGATCATTTTGGATATTCTCAAACCTCTCTTTGTCCAGAGAGACAAAGGTTGATCACTGAGACAACTTTAGATCCTCACCAGCCCAGAGACAGACAGCACCAGATGACATGGGATTAGGAAGTGCCACTAACTAGTCTTTCTCCACAATGCCTTCACTTTCCCTCAGTGCGCAGCCTCAAAAATCCTTCTCCTTTGCTCTGTGATGTCCCTAAACCTGCACTTCCCTTGTGAAAGATGCTGTATGAGTTGGAGTTCTCAACCCCATCGTTGGATTTACTCATTCTCCGGGGATCTCCCAATTCTGTGTGAAATATACATATCTGTTAATTTTTCTCTTATTTTGTCTTTCCTTATAGGGAGTCCATCCCAGCTGGGAATTAAGGATGCAGGGAAAGATTAATTAGTGACTGGCCAGACCCTGCCACTCTGCTCTCACTCTTCCCCGAACTGCAGCAGTTGCTGGCTTCTAATGACTCACCCAGCCCCCTTCTCCTGATGCTGGCCACTTGTATCAGCATCAGCCGATGGCCAATGGCAAAGATCATCAGAAAGTGTGTGTGTGTGTGTGTGTGTGATAATACAGGGTTAATAGTCTTTTGCCTCTGAGCAATCCCTGCTCCTTAATTCTAAAGCACCCCATGGGATCAGGCTGAGACTTTGACTTACCCTGAAACCTTGTCACTGGTCAGTTCCTGCTCCCACCCCTTCCTGCTTCCTTTGCACTCTTCCTTACATGGGTCTCCTGCCAGGAATCCCTGGTGCCAAATTCCCATCTCGGGCTCTGTTTCCAGTAGAATGAACTCAAGACAGAATCTGCACCCTGCTTGCTGGATTTCTTCTGCCCCTCCAGACTTCTCTTCCTGTTCTATCCCCCAGGAGACAGATCAGTTTGTACATTGCAAAAAGCTGTTTTCCCAGGAGTTTCTAGCTGGGTTGGCCAATTGGAGGCAATAGTGAGTGAAGTGCTGGGTTGAGATGAGGTCTTTATTCCCCTAGCTCCTCCCCTACAAGTTGTCCTCTATACACTTCTACAGCAGAAGAGGTTACAGAACCAAGAAAAGCCCAAGACATTATGCAGCTGGAAGTTTCTTGATGACTCCAGCTTAGGGAAGAAGGGGTGACAGAAGAGAGGGATCCACTTTGGGGAGTTCAGAAACTGTGTCAGAGCTCTTAACTGCCAGTGACAGAAATTGGCTGGTAAGTGAAAGCAGAAAAGGGATTCATGGAGGCAGTCTGGGGGGCTGACAGAATTTGTGGGCA